CCCCCTGGACATCATCAGGTGGTCCGTAGGAAAGTTTTGCAGGAGCTTTTGCTGTAGCACCTTGAAAAAGCAGCAGATAAATCAGAGAGAGAGAGAGGGGAAAAGCCTCAGGAGTCAGATGAGCTGGGCTGGGGTCCTTCCCTGAGCTCCAAGAGCTCTCACTCTGCGTGTCCCGCTTTTCTAAAAGCAGTCATAAATGCTTTTTAAAGGCAAGTTGTGTGTCAGAGAGAATTTCTACTGCCAGGAGACATCCCAGTTCACTTCAATGTAGTGTATTACTGCATTGATCCGTGAGTATGGGAGAAGATTTTCCTCATGGTGCCTCCACTGGTCAGTGGCATGGATACAGGATGAGATCAGGATGATTCTGGCTGTGTTGTTTGAGGAATAGATCCCTCTGGCTACAGCTGCACTTTGCTCCAAGGTGCTCTTCTGCATCCATTTCCGTGCTCAGCACCTCAGTCTCTCCTGTCCTCCGCGCAGGTTTTCAGTATCCTGCCACTGTCGGGTGAGCTACAGCAGGGAGAGAGACAGGAGGTCTCCTTCACCTTCACTGGCCACCTCAACACCATGGCCCAAGTCACAGCGCTGTGCCATGTGGAAGGAGGCCCCACCTATGAGGTGAAGCTGACCGGGGAGGCCTCACGCATCAGCTACTCCCTGAGTGCCCGGGAGATCAACTGCGGCTCCCAGGTACCCCACGGGTCCCCGGGCACGGCTCCTCGCCTTGCCGGGTTCCTGCCCACCTTGCTCCAGAACTCCCTTCCCAGCCCCTTTGTTGCCTCTGGGGCTTGGAAGCACAACCTTTGTGGGACACATCCGGCATCCAAGCTGGTTTAAAATGACCCTCTCCAAAATGTTGGGAATGCCTCTTTTTCAGGGTACCTAACATTACCTCCTGGGACAGGCAGGGTCCCAGTGGGGATGCTCTGAGGGGCATGTCCCTGAGACATCCCTCTGCTGCTCCATTCCTAAAGCCTGAGCTCCAAGGAGATGCTCTTGTCTAAAGCTCTTGCTTAATCCCCACAATAACCAAGGGAAGAAGTTGTCTCACTATATTAGGAGACTGTCCCAGAATGATCCCCACGTCACTCTTTTCAGTTGAAAACCCACAGCTATTTCCAGCTGCTGGCCCTGTCTGTGTTGCTGTGTGACTCCCTTGTTGCACGTATGTTGCTTGCCAATACTTGCATGTAGGTGCCCTTTCTTCTGGAGTGCCTCAGTGCTGTCTCTGTTTCTCCTGGCTGTTGGTGACCCCTCAGAGGGCCTGTGTTCACTGGTTCATTTATTACTGGCCCTCACATGGTTGTTGCCACACCCCTGTGTGCTGCCAGAGCTCCCTGGTCCTGTGCAGGTGCCCTGTGCCTGGGGGTTCCCTGGGTTCCCAAGTGCCCCTATCTTCTCTCTGGTCCCTGCTCCCATGTGTCTGCTTTCAACTGCAGGAGAGAGGAAGGAGATTCCCAGCAGCAGGAATGCTGGGTCTGTAACTTCCTGCTCATATGCCTTCTTTCCAGATATTTAATGAAATTCGTCACAGCACAATCACCCTGGCAAACACTAGCAAGATTGAATTCAACTGGGTGCTAAAACCCAGAACTGCAGATCAAGATCTGCCTGGTGTGTTTCTGGTCCAGCCCACCACTGTAAGTAGCACAAGTGACTGACCCCAGCCCCGTCAGGTGGCCCAGGAG